TTCGGATATGGGAAAGTTTAATGCTTATACAAAACATTTGGAAGACAAAATTAACAAACTTAAAGATTCCATCGCTAGACTGGAAGAGCAGCATCGAGGAGCCGGTAAGAATGGCTAATAAATGCTATTTTAATTTACTCTCATGAAAATATTTATTGTCTTGCAGAGAATGAGTTGGCGAAAATAGAAGAAGAAAAGGCCGAAATTCAACAAAAAGTTGATAATCAACCAATATCTCCTGACGATGTCGAAAGGATGCACAAAGAAAGTGAGCAAATAACCAATAACCGCAATTCTATTGCTGCGAAAATGAAAGAATTGGCCAAACTGCAATGGGAAAAAGGTTTAGAGTTAGAGAAAAAGATAGCCGAGGTATTATCTTTGTTCATTCGGAAAATTTGTATGAACTTGAATCATTAATTTCGTGATTGATAAATTATTTAGATTGAAAAGCAAATTCAGTATTATAACACTAGTCTTTATCGTGTTGGCTTACTTCCGTCAACTGCGCAGTATGCTGATGGGAAAGATTATGAACTGTCTTTGGACACGGACGCAGATCGTATTGATAAAGTGATTTCTTTGGATCTAAGGAATTTTGTCAGGGTATGTGATGTTTAAGCTTTTAATATGTCAAGGCCCAAGATATTGACGGGTCATTGTTCTGAATCGCAAAGGTCAAGCTATCGGAGGTTCGGGAAAATTTTAACTGTGAATATGATAAAATCCAAGAACAAATGAATCAAATCAGCGAGGAGATTCATCGTCTTGGTGACGATATTGCAGAAAAGGAAATGGATTTGAAAACATTGGATGAGAATAAAAACATACTCGCACAACAATTTGAAGAAATCAAACAGGTACGCGCAAACTTGTGAACTTTGTAATAAGCGGAACTGACGGTATTCGCCATAGTAGCTCGAACAAGGGGAAGCCGACTCGTTAGCCAAACGCTGCGCGAACTTTGAGCAGAGGGTGTGCCAATTACGATCAGAGGGCGCATCTGTTTATGTCGAATGGAAACAGAAACGTCAAGAAATTCAAATCCAGTATGTAATTCTTTTTTTTTTTTTTGAAAAAGATTTATCATTTGATAAAATCCCCCATTCTGTTATTATAGGTTTGATCGTTGTCAACAAGAATATAACTCTGCACGAGAAGCGACATACAACGAGTTCGATCAGATCAGGAATGAACAACTTAGAAGTCTTCAACATATTTCCAGTGTCTTGGCCGATTTAAAGAGACTGTCAGAAAATGAATTGAATGCTGAATATTGAATTATCATTTTACCTATTAACTATTTACATACTTGCATAAAGGTTATTTAAAATAAAGGAATTAATATTTTATTTTATATTTACATTATGTTATTGTTATTTACCATAGCTAGTTGCAACATGCAAAACTTGTCTCTTCGAAC